CTCCACATTGATCCGAGCATCCCAACTACGCGGCCAATCACTTCGCGGAGAAGATGGGGCAAGGATCGGGCTGGGCGGAGGGGAAGACGAAGAGTACGGCATGGGGGAAATGCGTGCAGCAAGAAGGGAAGATGGCGCGGGAATGCAAAGCAAGAAACGAGGGTGCGAGACGCGTGAAGAAGTCAGGGCTTAGGCGCGCGCGCGCAAAAATTCAAAAAGTCCCCACCGAAACCGTTTCTTGGTTTTCATACCGCGGCCGCTATTCGCCCGCGCGGGAGTTATTAACCAAACAAAATGAAAAAGCCGTTTCGAAAAGAAAACAAAAGCAAAAAGAAAGAAAACCCCCTGTTTGTCCACATCCGTGCCTCGGGGCTTCTGGGTGATTTTTCCTCAGGGATACGGGAAACCACGCGGCACAGGTTTGAGCTTATCATATCTGTGATACGTAGGGGGTTCCGAAAAATTAGCAGTCTCCTGGCTGCTGAGGTCATCATGTCTTAGATGATCGGGCGGCCTCTTCATCGTAAGCTGGCCCGATCATCTTCCTAATGTACTTGGATGCATCTTGCATCCTCCATCGCCCTCTCCCATAGTATACATCCGATCGGGCAGCCCCTTCATCGTCAGCTGGCCCGATCGATAAAAAGAAAAGTTGTTGTTGTTGTTGTTGTTGTTGTTGTTGTTGTTGTTGTTTTTTATACACAACGCGTCTCGACGCGCGAACTTTGGGCATAAGAGAAGAAGATGATGAAGAGGAGGAGAAGGAGAGAAGCTGGGAGAGGTAGGCGAGGGTGATCAGAGGAAGTGATCGATGTCGGGATTGAGAGGGGGCGGAATAGGTGGAAGAAAAGCGGCCATTGCCACGGGAGTCGTCGGCGCATCTTCCTCCTGGAAGTGGTGCTGGACGAACGAGGGATAGAGGAAGGCCCCCGACACATGAGACAGGACACATGGCGCCAGATCCACCACCGCTCACACCACCCGCTTGCGCACCGATCGGGGCCCTGGACCCGTCATCACAACACGAGTCTCGGTGTAAGGCCGCCGCTCCCGCTTCTGCGCCGCGAAGACAAGGAAGTGGTACATCACATTGGGACGCTGCCCGGTCTCGTAGATGAGCGTCCCAATCAGTCGCGCCGCAATACACCCTTGAAAGGGGTTGTCAGATATGGCCCCCAAGCCGGATCAGGGCGCGGCGCCCCCGCGATGGCCTCGAGCCTGATGGTGGCGGGCTCCACCATGAAGTCCACTTTTGTCGGATGGACCGTCCGGCTCGGAGGAACTACTAATGTCAATGACCGGGGCACCCCGGGGTGGCTGGCGGGAACGGAGAGGTCCCGCGAGGATAGGGGGTCTGGATATGGGATCCGGAAATCCCATTCAGCTTCCTCCTCCAGCTGCTGCTGCTGCTGATGGCCCGAATCCATCAAGATTGAGATCGGGCACACGCGGAAAGGGCGACGATGGCACGACAGTCTCCTTAACGAGTGTCGCCGCACTCCCAGGCACGGGGTCAGGATTCCGCGTATGCGCAGGCTGAATCACCTCCTCGCCACCGCCGATCCTGCTGCCTTGCGCTCTTGGCAACGGGTGGTGTCTCTTCCTCTTCGGGGTCTTCTTGGGGGCCTTCGGTGGCGCCGGTCGAAGATACGACGAGGGAGGCCGGAACGGCTTTTCCTCCGGGAAGTCCTCCAACCTCTCTGCGCGCTGCGCAATGTAATCTGGGATGACGACCGCGTTGTACGTTCTCCGCGGGGCCGTCGCCGTCCGCAATCGTGGTTGAATCTCCTCCTCCTCACTCGCGATCACTTGCGCAATGGAGAGGAGCTCAAGATGTATGAGCTCCAACAATCCCGGATCGATCGTCTGGAGCTGGGCGAATGGGTACAGTGCCACCGTCCCTTCCTTCTCCACTGGCTTGGGCCGTGTGATGACGTAGTAGACGACGAAGTGCTCCCCGATGCAGTGGTCTTCGTGATCCACGAAGAACCGGAACATCCCCAACGCCACCGACTTGTACAGCGCACGAAGCTCCACCAAATACTCCGAGAACTCGCGCATGGGATAAGGGCCCTCCGTGAGCTGATAGGGGAGGGTGGTGTAAGAGAAGAAGGGAGGCATTTAGTACGGGACGGGGAATAGCTTGGAAGTTGAGAGGAGCAGCGGGAGGAAGAAGCGCGGGGAGCTGTGGCACCAATGCAATTGGTCCGTCCTCTGCCCTGCGCAGCAGCACTTCGTGGGCTGTGAATCGGTGTCCCCCCCCTCCTTGCAATTTGGCCATTGATCTGGCCGCTTCCATCGCGTATTCGTGCACAAAGCTTCGCGCCGGCTCCCGATTCGGCTGCGGTAGGATCGTCAAGTCTCCGATAAAGGTGGCGACGCTGTGCACGAAGTTGGGTGCCACCTTGAGCGCGCGGAACTCAATGAATACTCGAGTCGTCTCCCGGCCAGGCAACTGCGTCACGTCCACGTACACCCCCGCATACGTCAGCCGATCGCAAAGCAACGAGTACSCCGCCAAATCAGCAACCCCGGGCGCTGGCACGTTCACCTGCTGAATGTCGTACCGCAACTGCCTTTCCTCATTGAACCGATGCCGCAACAAGCGATCTGCAAGCGGCGTCTGGAAATGCTCAAGGGGCTCATTCTCCGGCTGGCGATGGTTCATCCTGCTCCCTGAAACTCTCAGCACCAATGAACGAGGCAGATCGGGAAGAGGAGGAGGATGAAGAAGGAGAGGGTGATCTCGCCGGAGCGGGGGTCCTTAGGGGACCTAGCGATGGCTGGAGAGGCCGGAGCGCGGCAGCGTGCCGTGTCAGCGGTCGGGCCTGGGAGTTGTGATGGGGAATCAACTTCACGGAGTGCTGTCCCTGTGTGCCAACTTCCGTGACCTCGTAAATGCCTGTGTAGCGCGGGTGGATCTTGGAGGAGCGCGCAGATTTCCGTACCTGTACCAAGTCCCCAACTTTATAGCGGGGCAGTGGTCCCGCCGATGCGTGTCGATTCTCGTAGTCACAGATCTGCCGTTGATGTGTCCGATCTACGGCCTGCTGTCGACGGCGAGTTAACGGGGGATAGGCCCTAGCCATTAAGTCCATGTAGTGGCGGGCCTTATCTCGGTTCTGGGCCCGTGTTGCTCTAACTTCCGTACCTACTAAGGGGGACAATTGCACCCGAGGGACACTATTAGTTCTAAGTTGAAAGGGGGACACCCCAGTATTACCGTGTGGGGTAGCCCGATAAACGGCCAAGATGTGGTCGACAATGACCGGCCAGGGCCGGGTGTCTCCCGCAGTGATATTCCGTCTAAGGGCGGTCTTAATCAGTCGGTTGGCATTTTCTACCAGGCCATTGGCTTGAGGGCAATGCCCCGACGAGTAGATAATCTTAACGCCTGCCCTGACTAGGTGACGTTCTACTTCGCCTTGAAATTCCGACCCGTTGTCCATGTGTACCTCTTCTACGTCTAGATGCATGCACAAAAATCGGTTTACGTACCAGGCTACTTGCTGCGAATTCCGGCTGGTCATAGGGTACGCCTCGATCCATTTCGAAAAATGATTGACGGCCACTAAAAGAACATTGAGCTCTCCCTGATCGACTGGACCTCTCGGAACGTTGATATCCGTCGTGTCGATGCTAACTCTCTGAAAGGGGCGCTCTACACGAGTGGGCACCATCGTCCGAGGCATCTGTACCGGCGCCTTGTCCGCCACGCAGGCCGGGCAATTCTGAACGGTGTATTTCACATCTTCCCGAATTCCCGACCAGCACCATCCATTCTTTTCGATGGCTTTTTCCGTGTACTTGACCGCGAAATGGACCTCATCCTCTTCATGAACGGCTCGTGTCCAATCGAACCTAGCGAAAGGGTGCGGAACCGTCAACCAGCTAGACCCTCCGTCATGCTTGACTTTTTGTTTTTGTAACGTTGGTCCCTGCCAGCGATAGTCCTACGCCCGCTCCGTGACTCTCCGCCGCTCGGCTTTGGTGAGTTCTGACAGCGAGCCGCCTGACAGCCTCCGTAGCAACAGAAGGTCCGTCCAGACTTCTGCCCGGCGGACACTTGGCACAAATCCGTCGGCTGTTTGTGCATCTTGATACCGTTTCTCGGTAGGGAGTTGGTCCGTTCTACAGTTGGGACAGACCCACGTCTTTTCACTTTGGTACCTAACGCATTGTCCGTGGGACTTGACAGCTTGACACCGACTACACTGCACCCACAAAAGAAAACTGGGCCCTCCCGGATGTGACCCTTCTTGGTCCGGGACCATAGGCAAGGTACAGAAAAAACAAGGACTTAGATGTGTTTCAGGGGACGAGTAAGGACTAGACGAGAGAGCGAGGGAGTTGGATGAGGGCAAAGAGATAGCGTCTGCCATCTCCGGCGAAACATCCATTCCGGACTCAGGCGTCGTTCTTGCGCAGCACGTGTAGCTCCCCGTAGTGTGGTTTCGTCGCCTCGACTTCTGGCCTCCACGGAATGAGTCGCTCGTTGGCGGGACACTTGTTGGGTGGCAGGAGGCTCGCCAATCCATCGGCGTTACCATGCTGCCGCGTGGCACGGTGGCGGATGTCAAAGTCATAGTCTTGCAGACGCACCGCCCACCTGCCCAGCGTCCCCGTGTAGAGCGTGTTGTTGCGTAGGGACAACAGCGGCTGATGATCCGTTACCAGCACGAATTTCTGGCCGTAAAGATACGGTCGGAAATGCTGGATCCCCCACACCACGGCCAGGCATTCGCCTTTGCACGCTTCGTAATTAGCCTGCGCCTGGCTCAACGTCTTGGACGCATACTCAATGATGTGTTCCCTTCCGTCCACCCCGTGTTGAGTCAGCACCGCCGATATCGCCTGAGGCTGCCAGTCGGTGTAAAGTGCGAACGGTCTTGTCGGATCAGGACGCACCAACACAGGAGCAGATGTCAGAGCCTCCTTCAATGCCTGAAACGCCGCTTCGCATTCCGGGGTCCAGATCAGTTGTTCCTCTTTCTTCAGCAGGTTCGTGAGGGGCTTCGCTATACCGGCGAACCCCTTGATGAAGCGTCGGTAATAGGATGCCATCCCTAGAAAAGCCCGAACCTGGGTGAGTGTGACCGGCGCTGGGGCTTCTTGAACTGGTGCCATCTTACTCGGATCCGGTTTTAGTCCATCGACTGTGACGATGTACCCCAAGAATGAGATCTCGGACAAGAAGAACTCGCTTTTCTCCAAGGCCACTTTGAACCCCGCATCTTTTAGTGCATGCAAAACCCACTCAATGTGTTCCACGTGGTACTCGTGTGTTTTTGAAAAGACCAAAATATCATCCATGTACACAATCACGCAGAAATTGATCAGGGGCTGGGTTAGTTGGGTTTTGTTAACGAACTCAGCGAAGGCCATATTCATGGCCCGCTGAAACGTTGCAGGGGCGTTACAAATTCCCATGGGACACCGGACCCATTGCCACGTGCCCTCAAATAGGACAAAAGCGGTTTTGGGTCGGTCCTCCGGTCGGACTGCGACATGGTGAAAACCGTGTCGGATATCAAACTTGGAAAAGACTAGCCCGGCCCCGATAGCATCTAACAAATCGTCATATCGCGGCAAGGGATACACATCTTTGGTAGTGATAGCGTTCAATTTCCGATAGTCGATACATACCCGGACCGAACCATTTCGTTTTGGCACGAGGACCACGGGAAAAGACCACGGTCCCAGCGATGGTTCGACCCACCCCAACCGCTCGAATTCCCGTACCCTTTCCAACGCCAGCTGTCTTTCTTTAAGGGAATATCGGTACGGTCGGCAATGTATCGGGGCGTGATCCCCGGTATCAATCGCGTGCTGTATCAAAGGGGTTAGCCCTATGTCGTGGTCCTGAATGCTAACGGCCTCAGGATAGGCCCATATAACCGGCAGGAGGAGGCGTCTGTATTCATCCAGAACACGGGCTGGTAATTGAACTTCTACGGTTCCCCCAGGAAGGGAGACCGTCATCGTAACCGTGGGGACCGCCGCGCTGGCATCGGGTGAGGCCCCAAATAAAGAGTTGTCGGTTTTCGCCGAAAGGACAGTCGCAATCAGTTGACTGTCCGCCGGACTCATCGGCTCGCTTTCCATGTCACTGTCACTGTCCAGTTCGGGTCCGGCCGAGGGTTCTATCGAAAAGGTCTGCGTCAGTTTCCTTGGTCCCCACTGATATTCCCTTGTTCGGGGTTGAAACGACACCACCTCTTTCAGGAGGATCGCGTTTTTTTCATTCGTGAGTAGGGGCCGTAGAGGTCGAAAAGATAAATCGCATAGTCCCCTAAGCTCGGTAAATCTTTCAGGTAGGCGGTCCGTTCGGAGATACAAGGACGCAGGGGGTTCCAAAAGGTCAGCTATTCGGGACACCCTCAACAGGGGTTCCCCTTGCACCACGGAGGAGAACGCGTGCGACCAATTGGACTCGCTCCGAACTATCTTCAGGGGTTCTCGCCGCCAAGAATGGCGCCACCGATCCTGAACCCGGATCGGATATCGGTCGGGTACATCAGTCTCGTCAGTTTCCGTTGAGGGTTCATTTTCGTCTGGTGATAGGCGTCGGATCATATTGATTTGATGGGCTTTCGTGGTGAGTCGAGGCGCCGTCTGGGTGTGCATGCGCACCGCCAGTCTCATTGGTATCGTTTGGGGTTTGGGTTGGGCCGATGTGAGCACCACCTTACAGCTGTCAAAGTGCATTCGCGCTCCGACCGCCGCCTGCCACGGAATGCCTAGCAGAACATCGTACGCCTGTACATCCAGCACGATTACGTCGCACAAACAATGCACCTGCCCCACCCGTATAGGCACGTTCGTTATTCGCCCTTTACAATGAATACTGTCTTCCGTAGCGGATATATATAGTTCATCCGGTCGGAGGGGCTGAACCTGTCCTTCCCTTCCCAACTGTTTCGTCAATCTCCAAGAAATGGCGACCGCTGATGATCCTGAGTTTATGATGGCGGCCGAGGGATTTCCCTAGACCTCGCAGTTACACTCAACGCTTTTCCAGGTTATAGGATACGCTCGGAGGAATACCTCGGGTTTTTCCGAGGCAGAGTCTATGGTCTGGATCATTCCTACCCGGTCGGCGTCGTGCACCTTTGAGGTCGAGGGCTGCGACTCCTCGTTTGTGGGTAGGTCCCGTAGGACCGACTTTTTGCCCTTTCGACTTTCCTGGAATCGGCGCCTGTTTTTGAGGCATCGTTCGATCAACTTTTCGTTAGCCGCTTCGGAAATGGTTAGCAGATAGGGAATAGGGACGGGGATCCGAAGATCCAGAGCCTTCCAGACATCCAATACGTCGATATCACCATCCTTGTATTCAGGACTAGGTGTCGCAAGGTCTTCGAACCCTGGTCGCCACGGCCCGAGGTCGCTTTCCTCGGTAATCCGTTGGACGTGACGTATCACTCCGATGGTCCCGAGTTCGAACATCACCGCAGCCATGTATTCATCGGGCCCTATCTCGGTGGCCGCAGGGGTCACCATTTCCGTTGCCCCGGTATCCATCACCGTGGCCAACCTCCCCTGTCCTGCAGCGGTTGGAGCAGCCAGCGGGATTTGGGAAGGCCCAGCGGGCCCACCTTGAGTTTGAGGTTTCGGACAATCTTTCGCAAGGTAACGTGGTTGGTTACAGTTATAACAGCGTAGGGGCGGGACAGCCCCGGCCACGACCGGTCTTATCATAGGGGCCCCGACGGCCATAGCCACTTGTTGTCGTTGTGCGGCGGCTAGGCATTGCCGCTGCAGGCCCTGAACAAACTTCGTCAGCGGGGCCACTACCGTAACTAATTGGGCCGCGACCTCTTTTATGGACACTTCGTCCTCACCCCGGCCTCTTTGTGCTTGACTAGAGCGACGGGAGGTCGAAGAAGAGGAAGAAGCTTTCCGATCCACGCCTTTTTTTGTTGGACCCAACCCAAAGCGATCTTCAAACATTCGTGCCGTGGCGGAGTAGCTATTGCGTCGAACACCCAAAGAATCATCTTCGTCGGATTATGAGTCCAGGCCCACATCGTAATTTTCTTTCCCGTACTTAATTGCGTACTGAATTAGCTCCATCAGGGTATGTTCTATAGGGTTGCATTTCTTGCGGATCTTTTTTCGCAGACGAGAATCTGACAATCCTCTAACGAAATCAGTCCGTTCCATTTTCTCGTCCACCCCGGAGCGTTCGGCTAGGTACGTAAAACGTTCAGCATATCTAGCCAAGGTCTCCCGAGGCTGATGCGTGTATTCCTTTATTAGACGGAGGCATTGACCTGGTGCGATGTGATCAAATCTGTCGAGAAATTTCCTCTGGAAGGCCAGCCAATTAGTGCAGGGGTTATGTCCATACCACTCAAAAGCGGTTCCGGCTAACCTTCCGGGGATTCGTTCTCGGAGCAACTGGTCCGACCAGCCCTGTGCTTTCAAGGCAACTAGCCAGGTGCGAGGGTCGGTATCATCTTCGGAGAAAATGGGAACTTCGGAAGGAGGAGGTACAAAGTACAGGGGATGATTGGCCATCCTCGCGTGGTTATCACCATCGTTTTCACCCCCAATTCCGGGTTCCACCATCGCGGGAGGCGGGTTTCGAGGGGCGTGGCCGAGGAGTTTTGGCCGTAGGGGTTGAGTCTCTCGGACGGAACGGGAGGCTCTCGTTTCGTGCCAGAGGTTACCCCGGAGTCGAACTGTCGTCTCGAAGTCCCGTGAGGGTCGGATTGCTCCGAAACGATAAAATCAAAAGGTTTTCCGCGAAAACGAACTGTCGTCGTGCATCAGGACGGGAAAAGGCCTCAAGGGGAGAGGGCCATGGCGACGTGAGACAAAACTTCGGCCTCACGAAGTGATCGAACCATCGGGTCTTTGCAATAGAGGTGG